TGACATAGCATCTGCATCGCAAGTTATTTTTCTGTTAATTTTATAAATGTTGATGTTCTCATAAAAACTGATCTAACGAGCCCAACACGATGCAGTTGCATCATTTCATCACTAAGTTCCCTTCATCATCATATCAGCTTACTGACACCATAATAATGCCATCTGACTTACATGTCTATGCAAAATTTCAAATCTATCGGCCATTGGGAAGTGGGTCAAATTTGAGTTCTAAAATATGCGCACTAACTAATAACGCAAGTTAAATAAAAGCTTGTAACCAAATTAAAATAAACGATTAAATTTTCGAAATTTCCCGCGGAATTGCCATTTTCTGTCGTGGTGTTGCTATGACGTCACGCTTCTCTAAAATGAATATCGTTATATGTTAGTGTCGTATAAAATATTTTTTTTTATTAAATTAAGCAATATTATTAATACGATATAATAATCATAAACAGAAAAAAAAGATATGTATTTATTTAACTCTTATCTACACCCTTATTACATATTTTTAAAGAATTTATCAAGGGTTCTTATTTATCATAAATATTTGTATATTTTTTTAGAAATATTGAATTACGATAGTTCAAAACACTCAAAGAATCTAATAAAATGAATGCGAAAAAGAAACTTCACATTTCCTTGAACTAACAAAGCCAGGTCGGCTTTGTTTGCAAATGAAAACATTTAATAAATAAATAGGAGCGATCGCTTTGAGCTTTACTCGTGCTCGTTTAAAGCTCAGTGATCAAACATTGATAGCTTTGCTGGTTTAACGCCACAACCACGCATCGATACATACAGGTCAATGGTTTCAAGTGCATAGAAAAGGCATCGATTGCCCAATTAGCGAATATTGCTACGCTTGATGTAGGAGGGCAGCATTTGCACAGTAATTCGGCGTGATGCGTAATGTTATTTGTAATTATAATAAACTATTTTCCCGCGACTACACTGGGCATATATTATGGCTTATTCGCCCACGTATTATGTAGCTTCCCGTGAGAGAAGGAATTTTTATAATTGGACCACTATTTTCGATGATTACTCGTTAAAAAAAAACAAAGTTAACTTTACCTTTTTATAATATTAGTATAGATAATAAATAAACTTTTAAAAATCCTTCTCTATCCTTTTTCACGTTTACACAAAAACTAGATTCTTTACAACTTGTACGTACAAATTGACTGAGTACAATTAGGATTTGTGTTAGTGTTTTAGAATTAGGATTGTAATACTTTGATTATTAATATTAAATATTAATAAAGATATGTTTATATCGGAGAAATAACAAAATAACGTACTTTGCATTAATTCAAAATCGGAATGGAGAATTACTATGTTCAACGGGTATGAATATTTCTTATGTTAGTTGGTATGTTCACCGATTTCTTCGTAAATTATGAACAAATTTTCTATAAAGTATATTGGAAAAAAAATATTATGCCGTGCAAATAAACTTTGTTTGTTTGAAATTCCTACTTTCCAATTTTGAATTAATGTAAAAAATACATTATTTTTAATATTATGCTTGTTACACTTTCAATGAAGTTTGACATTCTTAAAACTACTCGTATTTACTTATATGCTAGTGCTGCATTCTAGTGGCATAAAGTTGCACTAGTACGTCCTATTATATTTGATGTGATGAAACACCAATTACTAACTGTTTTTAACGCAGAGCTTATTTAACCCTCAATTTTTAAATAAAATATTTGGTACATATTTTGTATGCTCAGGCTATGCATTATTTAACACGACTGCATCAACTCAACTAAGGAGATTAATTGAAGCTTTTACAATGAATTAAATAAATTTAGCTTCTACAGAGTTACTTTATATTTTGAGAGAGGATTTTCATTTGCTCGGAATGTGTCAATTAAATCTTATTACCACCGTGACAAGGTTTTACGCTTTCCCTTTTGGTCTTCTCTAGTTCGTGCTTGCTAATGTGGGATTTATCAAGGCCTCTTCAAAATCTATTTTTACGTCTCTCAAGCACAATTTTTGTTTAGATAAAAGTTCTATTACCCAATTTTATAAGGACTTATTAAAAATCTATACTAATCTTCTTGTTATAGAAGCTGAAGCTTGAAGTAATTTTTGACAACTTTTTATAAACAAAGAATATAGGTATAATACTAGAGATTTTTTATGATGTCAGCAAGCTGATATGATGATGAAGTGGGAAGGTGGTCATAGGAACTTAGTGATGAAATGATGCAACTGCATCGCGGTTAGGCTCCTTAGATCAGTCTTTATGAGAACATCAACATTTATAAAATTAACAGGACAAATAACTTGCAATGCAGATGTTATATTAGCAATGAATAGAATGAGACAAGTAAAAAATAAAAATATAATAAAAAAGTTTTTATTTGTGCGCTCTAAAATGTAAATAATTATTTTATGAAAGACAATGTCATAACGTTAATGTTAAAGCACTTATAATTAATATTTTCTCTAATAATAATTGACTTGAAAAGCTTGTAGCGCGTAAAAAATATGTGTTTTCTTCGTCTCCGATTTCATTACCGCTACAAGCTTTTTAAGTCATTTACTTTTAGAGTTTTTTTCTTATTAAATTATATATAAGCGAAATTTATAATAATTACTTTTGCATTAATGTTATAAACTTGTCTTGTATAACATTATTATTTCAGTTTTGGTGCGCACAAACGCATAAACGTTTGTTTTTCAAAAACTTTTATTATATTTGATCAATCTTGCATTCACAAGGCTTTACTGAAAAATATTCGTAATTAAAAATGCTTAAAAAATCCACTTTATCCCTGGCACTCTGAGATGGAACTTTTTTAGATTTTAACTTATTATATGAATTATTTTTAGAATATTTTTTTAGATATATTTCATGTATAAAATAAAATATAAAGGCTACACCTCTATTGATACAAAAAGTTTAAAATTTTTTGTATAAAACCTCGCTGTTTTACCAGTACAATATATTTTTTTATTATGTTAACTCCAAAAAGTATTTACATCAATAAAAAACAATAAAAAATCTAAAACACCACGTTTCTGAGACGTAAACAACAAAGTTTTAATGTAGAGCTACCGCTAATGTTAAAATGACGGACAGTGAGGCAGTTTACAAAGCCTTTAAAGCGTCTCTTAATTCAAACTGTTTAATGTTCAATTTCTTTGAAATCGTTAGGCATAAACAATTAAAAAAGTTAATTTCTTGTTTGATAATTTATATTAGGAAACGTATACAATATTAGCAATAAGTAAAAAAATTAAATTCTATTTAATCCGTCAGTCAGATAATAGAAAAATATTAGTTAAAATTTTTTTATGTTTCAAATTACCAAGAAATGGTATAGACAATGGTCATTATAGTTAAGAAGTGGAGGGTGGCTACGTCACAACTACGCAGAAAATATACAAATGTGTGACGTCACGCGACATTTCAACTCAATGTATCATAATTTATTGATTACGCAAAAAAAATACTTAACGGACAAATAAACAAAGATTAGTCGTCAAATAAAATAAAATCATCCCTATTCTTTTGCACAAACTAGACTAAATTTAGGTTCAATCCTGTCTAATTGTAAATAACCAAAGCAATAGAAATGTTAAACCTGCATGGTTTTGTAACAAGAACACTCTGTCTATTCATAAAATTGTTTTTAAAAAGCATTAAGACTTTGTCACTACTCTTTGCCTTTTCATGTTCTGTTTTATGCTACCAATATAATCTTTTAAAACCTTATATATTTTATTTATCTTTATTATAACTAAAAATTTTGTAGAAATAAAGTAAAAAAAGATCTTTTAAGTTAATGAAATCGATAACTTGTAATGGTTAGTTTCAATATTCTATTGTCTGAATTTTTCATCTTTGGTTCTTACATAGTTTCAAGGTGTCGCCACCTCTGAGAACCGGTTTCGATTCCCAATTGACTCAATGTAGAAAATGATCTTTTCTTTATAGTCTCGAGTATGGGTGTTTTGGTATCTTCACTGTCTCAGATACTCCATAACACGGGATCTTTAGCTACTCATCTTGGAATCTGACCAATGTATGTGATGTTGTCCAATATTTATTAAATTACTTTGACAAGTAAAATTTTAGTTAGAAATATATTTCGGCAAATTCAAGCCGGAAATATAAAGTTGTAAAATCAATGTTCGATTGAAAGATCTTTAATGTTGATAAAAGTATTGCTTATAAATTAAATAGATAAAAAATCGGCCAAGAGCCTATCCTGAGGATTCTGTACCAATATTTATAAAAAAGTAATCGACCCACTATAAGACTATATATTTTTTATTATATATCAATTTTGCTCTAAGCTTGTACCTCATTATATAACGATACTACTTGCCCCATAATTCTAGGTCGACGGGAAGCACCCCATCAATTTTGATTCAATTGAGTGTCAAAATATGCGTTTACTGCGAAGTAAAAGGCCGTACTTATTTTCAAAAAACTTATGGGGACTATAGCGGGACGCTAAAGGAATTAAATTTCTAGTTATTTCATTTTTAAATTTAACTATATTGAGAAGAGAAGTGGCAACTTCCTTTGTATTTTCAAATAGATACAGTTGTAGTATAACGAACAAACATCGATAGATCATAAATAGACAAGGTATCATTGTATTCTTAGACCAAAGGCTTGTTACGTCTTAGGAACAAATAAGTAGCCTGCTCTTGTATGCATTACACAATCTCAATTTCTATTCCAAAGAGACTGTGAATACATTTCGATTGCAAATATATTTCCTATTGAATTCATGTAAATTTTGGATTGTGAAGATCATAAAATTGAAGATGTTATAATGTCAACAGCCGACTTGACTGTGCCTGGATCGTAAGACCACGTGTACGGGTATCTTTTGTGAAGGTGACAAGTGATGTGTGTAACGTCACTTGGAGCATTTCTATTTCGGCACGGTGTCGCGGGCGCGGCGAGACGCGGTGGCATGCGGCGGCGGTGGCGCTAGCGCATACCAAGTGTTAAAGAACTCCTTAGTTAGCGCGCATGTATCCCGAACCGAACACGTCTAAACAAACAAGCCGGCCTAAATAAACTTTGCACAAAGGAATGTTAGTTGTGGAAGTGATGTACGATAGTTTTTCAGTGTGGTGTCGTGATAGCTATTGTATTGAGTTCTGTTCTGTTCTACAAAACAAAAAAGAACTGCGGTTTTATGTCCAGCGCTTAAGTGTTAAAATCTCTTAAATCTGATTGAACCTGATTAAAATAAAAAACAAGTACAATATACGTAATTACTTGCACTTTTTAACTAGGAAGTGACCTTGTTCTTAGTAAAGCGAGTGCGTAGGTCGATATTAAATGCTCATGTTTAAAATGAATCATCATTAAACAATACCGTGGGGATTTTTATAACCTCACTAAATATTGTTAACCTGAATGTAGGTAATGCAGTAAGTGTTTCGTCACAGCCAATAGGTACTTGCGTTTCATATAACACCAGTAGGTACCCAGTTCAACTTTGTTATCTCGCCACATCGTACATGTGATAAAACAGGTGCGATATTATAAAATACTTTTGTCGATCGGAGTTTTGTACCTTTGTTTATTCACTGATAAAGCCGGGTAGTATTCTGCGCACGTTACGTGCCATGAACGGGCATTTACATTCTTATCGCAGACTCGACCACGTGCTCATCGCGCTTGGGAGACAGCTCGGATGGAAGCAGTGACGTCACGCACGTGAAATATGTAATGCTAAAACCAAATAGTTCGTTAATGGTGAACAGTGGTGTGTGTGTGCGCAGTGCGTTGTACCGCTGGCGGGTCGATATGTTGTTGGATGGTGGCTGGATATCGAGAGGGCCTGTACAACGGAGTCACTTAGGTCCTTGCGGAGTTCCATGTTGGCGTGGGGCAGGGGCTCCGCGGGGACGTCGAAACCCGTGCCTCCGCGCCCCCCGCCCCGCCAGCCTCATGACCGGCACGATGACAGCGAGGAAGCTGTCAGCGACCGGGACACCGAAGGCCCGGTGCTCCCGGGCACCACCGCCCTGGCTCGAAGACGATACGCCATAAAAATCAAAAGAAAATCAAAGATCACCTATAGAGTACTAAGGTTTGTTGTCCTGTCAACTTTAATATCTATTGTGCTCGAGAGGCCACACAGAGAGTCGAGTCCTATTGTTAGACAATTTAGGGCGATCAATGAACAACTAAACATGCTCAATTTATACTCTGTAGAACCTTTATCAAGGCTATTGTTTTAATTAAAATTGTTTATTTAATGTTAGTGACGATTGATTGATGATATGGTATACGATATAAAATCATCAATTTTTTTCATTGACAAAAATAATGAATTCATAATAATCGCTGCTACTAAGTCAATATAAAGTTGTTTCTTTCTATCCAAATTATATAGAGTATGTGTTCAATTTGACCCAATAGAAAGCAAATCCTTTCAATTCATTCTCAAATCACGTAACTACCCATTCGGGTCAGTCTATTTGTCAAAAGCGTCGATATAACTCGACAGCCTCTTCTATAGAACAGGCTATTTGACATTCCGACCGTGTCCGACGGCGTTGGCGACCAACGTATGCAGCTACAGCTATCTGTTTGTAATGCTAACGTTATAATTGTGAACCGAGTGAATATGTCTATCATTGGCTAAATTATATTGTTTCCATGTATAAAAATAACTGCATGATTAACGAAATCTCTTTTTAAGAAAAGAAACGTAGTATCTACCTACCTTAAGCATGGAATTATCCTACTTAAAATTGATAAATATTTATTTTTGGATACAGATCGATATTTATATTAACGACATCGTTTTATGACAACTCAAACCTTCGATTTAAAGTATCAACCGCCGATCATATTACTCGTAGTATGTAAATGAAACAATATCCTTGCAAGGAAAATATGATTAAATAAATGGTGGTGCTTATGGAAATTGTTATCAAATGTATTCATAATACACCCTTTTCATCCATCTTTGCTATGATAATGTTCCGTTAAAGATAATCGCCGTTTAACCATCGTGCAGTGAACCCATTTTAATTAACTTTCAAGAACTGTTATCATCCCTTCCAAACTGACCTGATTGTGATATCACCGGAAAGCAGTTAGCGGGCTCAATTAACTTGTGCTTCGCAGGTTTTAAGGTGATATTTTTTATTCAAACATTGGACTCAGTAATTTTAGTTTGGTGCTGTCTAACTTATGTTTGTATTCCTATGCTCGGCTGCTCTACATTAAAATTTGGAATTCAATTTTATCTGAATCTGTCGGTATAGGTAATTTAATGGTAATTTATGTAATTTCGGTAGGCTCTCTTTGATATTCCTTTTAAAAAAAATGTTTGAAGGTTATAACCGCATCAATATTCAGAAATTCAATGTGATCCAACATACTCTGGCGGTTCTATCGTATAACTTAAGCCCCAATTGTACGTACTGTCAAAATGAAACCCTGAAATCTGTTTGGCTAACAGATCGACCGATAGCAATTAGGATTGGTCTGTCAATCTGACAGATCATCCAGGATCATCCGGAACTGAACCCGGCGGGCTCCTTGTCGGATCCCGGGTCATTCCCCCCTTCCTCTGAGTGTACTCGCAGCGGGTTTTACCAGGTGGACCGGCCTTGCTTTGGCCTGTAATTTTCGGGGCCGGTGCTGGGTCGTAGAGCCTTAGTTTGGGGCTTGAGGTTTCATTTCCCCTGCGTTAAAAAACTTACACGCTGTGGACGTTGCTTGCGCGATATGAACTGCAAAATTATATATCGCACCCACACTGGTATATAAAACCTGTTAGCTGAAAACTTCTACAAAAATGAGTTAAATAAACTATTCAATTCAAAATTTTAAGCTGAATCTACTAAAATACGAACCACAAATCTAATAAACACAAACTAAGTGCGATAATTGTTTCGTTTATATTTCTGGATAGCTGGATCCAGATCCAAATTTTATTGTTTGCTTTGGATGCGGTATTTGGATATCTGGATTAAGAATTTGAGAAAATACATTATAACATCTTTCAAATGGTTACTTAATAGATAACGGAAACATCGCAAATAGAACAGATGTTATCTAATTTACAAATCCAATTATTTTGTTGTTAGTCCAGTTAATCTCAATCGGCTATCAATTAAGCTAGTGGCCGATCGTGAGCAAAACTGTTCAAATATTCATCACTCGGCCAAACGTACTATGGGAGAGGAAATGGTAATATGGACCTATACCTTGTTACTAAAATTTATAACATCTAAACATAAGAATAATCATTATGTTGACTTTAACTGATTGAAATGAGGGAATGGTTGTTAACATATAAAATTGACATCTTTTATTCAAATTTTACTTCTATTTTCTGCTTGATTACTTTATCTACCTAATTTTTTCTTTTTCTCAAAATTACCTTTCTATCATCATATTTGAGTTCATATTTCATCAATAGAACACACGTTTTTCTATGTTATATTGATTTCATCTATTACTCTATCTTCATACCGAAATTATATTATAATTGAATAGACTCCAAAACAACAGAACCGCTTTTTAAAATTCTTTTGTGCAGTTGAGTTAGCGGAAAAACAGTTAATTAACTATAAAGGGAGTAAAGCTAAAGTAACTTTACAAAATTCATTTTTAGTAAAGTTACTTACTGAACTCTTCAATATAATAAACCGAGTTAAGAAAGGAACAAACACAATTAGTTTTTATTTTTATCATTGCATTTCGTTCCTTCCCATAGTGAACAACTCTTACGAGTAAATTGGTTTTTTTAGTCTGTCTGCCCGCGGTTTAGCCTCAAGATCAAAAACTTAGTATTAGATGATTAGTAGGTATGATAAAGCAGTAATTTTATACCAATATACTCATTGACTGGACTAATTATAGAACATTGTAGAATATTATTTAGATAATAATCATACAGTTACCGATACCCACTTTAAAAACGTTAACTTCAATAGAATTTTCATGAGAATAAGTTATGTTTAAAAAGTATTTCAACAAAAATCATTAAAAAGCAAATCTTTTTTTTTTGTTTTAATCAATGATATTAATATGTTGTAGTTATTGTTCATATTATGTAATTTTGTTATTTGGCAGAATGCTTCCAGTTATTATGTGTTAAAAACAAAGCTGTTAAAATACTTTTAATAAAAAGTACCTCAGCTCCATTAGCTTTCGAATAGAAAACTGGTAACTATATATAAAAAATACAAACTAATCAAATATGCACCTACTCTTCTTCAATTTCGAAGTTGTTTAAAGGACCCTGTATACGCGTTACCTGATAAATTTGATTAATTTTAAAAATCCTTGTAAATAAAATAATATAGTAATATATATACCATTGAATCGGTTTATTTTATCGATTAATAGACTTATTGTAATCACCGTTAGTAACTTTTCAATGAAATCCGATTAGATCATCTTCATCATTAGATAATTCTAATAATTCGTTTATTTTCAGCTGAGTCGAATACAGGAAATATACAATATAATGATTGACACTTTTCAAAGTTTTCAATTTATCGGGCAACCTTAATAGAAGTATTACGGAAATTAAAATGTAAAAATATAATCGTTCGATATTTCGAACGATTATATTTTTACATATAATCGTTCGAAATAGAAGTCCGGAAAGGATACACTTACATAAAAATAACATATATTTGTAGTAAATATTTATGACAAAACAATCAAAATGCACGTAAAATTAAGAGCATTCGTAAATCAAATTTAGTTTCTAACAGACTATAGAAAGATTTTGATGAAAGATTTCATCAAATATCAAAAAAAATATGTTTTTTTTAATTAATAATCTGTACATAGTATTAAACAAAGTCTTCCCTGTCTATACATTGAGATCTTTAAAATTATAAAACGGATTTCAAGTCAACATCAATATAAAGAGTGATTCAATACTAACGTTTATATGTATAATTATATAGGACTATGCGGGCGAAACCGGTGGCGTAAAGTTAGTTTACTATATGAAATTGTTTGCATTATAAAATTGGATTGCCAAGTACTTTCGTAACAGTCTTACGAGTATTTCCTTTCAAATCTCTTAATTCTAGTGACGTTTTTACTTTTTTTTGTAAAAACGTTACTAGAAGTGACGGTGTACGGTGATAACTTCACACTCAATTTTAGTTAGTGATTGACACTTACGTTACTAGTTAATATTGTCTCGTGGTTTCCCTTTCGTCCTTTTGTCCCTTTGAACTGTTTATTTTCAGAGTGTAAATCTCTTAATCCGTCATGGCCGTACTCAAAAGTAGTTTTGTTCAGTTGGGAGACCTTGCAATGTCCACAGTTAGATACGTGTTTGTATTAACGTTTAGTTTAGCAACATATACTAAACTTGCTAACTGACTACTCGTAAAGCTTCCGTTAGACAACATTACAGCTTACGCGCGGTCACCCTGCGGTATTCGTTCTGCTGCTTCGTTACGAGTAGATATCTATGGCTGAACTTTAGAGATTTAATGCACGCAAAGATGGTATACGCCAATTTCGCTGGTCCAATTCTATGATTTTATGTTTTTGAATTTGTCTTCGTCGGGAAAAAGTATTAAAATATAATATTTTATCAATATTTGCAAAACAAATATACATCTTTTATTATTATCATCTTATAATAAAATGCAACCGACAGTTCGCGTAATGTTGTCTATGTCTATAGTTTATATTACATTGCCAATAAATGGACCGGTAAGGTGATTGTTTTGTGATTATTAATTTGTGTTAATTTTAAAAACCTCAATCTGCTTATTTATTGATTGTTAGGCGGAACAAAGTTTGGGTGCCCTAGACGTGTATAAATAACTAATATAAATACAGTTTCCTAGTTGTTTTAAACAAACACATCCAGATCTTTTTGGCCTTTGAATACCCGATTCATGGTTTTGACTCTGTCTTCACTTCTTTGAGGTTATTCTTATCACTTTTAAGCGGATTCGTAAGTCCGCCTCCATGACATTAGTCTAGCGGTATCTAGGCCACCGATTGCCGAGCTATTTGGAACTCCGAGATCTTTTTAAAATCTCGTTCCTCCCCTATTCTATGTAAGTGGTCTTTTTAACGAATCTATTA